GGGGGTTCACCCCGGTTTTGGGGTGGTCTCGCCCCGTTTCGGGGGCTCACCAGTAAAGGACCTCGTCGCCGCACTCGACGTCGAAGCGGAAGTGGGAGAAGGCGACGGGGCCGGCCCCGGGCTCGCGGGCGATGAGGTACCAGGCGCGCTCATCCCGCAGCTCCTCCCGCTTCTCCCGCTCCTTCCAGCCCCACTCGCTCTGCTCGTACCTGGGGGGGGGAACAGCGGGATCTGGGGCAAAGCCAAGCAAGAGTGGGGGGGAAAAAACCCACAAGGGGCAGAAAATGCCCAAATCTGAACTGGTTTAGGGGAGGAAAAGCCAAATCTCAGGAATTTCGTGGCTCTAAAACCTCTCAAATAAGTTGCTAGAAAATCCCAGCAATTTTAAGATGCAGGATCCCACATTTTTGAGGTACCAAACTCAAACTCCGACAGTTTTGAGGCCCTAAAGGACCCCAATATGGGGAGATAAAACCTGAACCTCAAAATCCCGGGGCTCTAGAACACCCCAAGCTATTTTTTAGGGGGTAAAACCTGAACCCAAATAAATTTGGGGCCCCTATTTTGGGGTGTTAAACCCAAATTCCAACAATTTTGGGTCTCTAGAATCCTCCTCCCCCCAATTTTCGGGGAATTAAACCTGAACCCAAATGATTTTGAGCAGAAATAAACCAACAATAGAAATTTAGGGCAAAAATAAGCTCCAAATCCCATTCCCTTCACGCATGTGATTTGGGGGCAGAGACACCGACCCCCCCCAGAATTCCAGCAGCTGTCCAGGGACTTGGGGGTGCAACCCCCCCCCTTTTCCCTTGGGATTTGGGATGTGACTCACAGTGTCTGCATGTTGGCCTTGGTCAGCTCAAAGGCCCACTCCAGGGTGGCAGGTTCCAGCCCGGAGACACGCTTGCACTCGATGGCGACGTTCAAACTACGGGAGATGCCGGGTAGAAAACGACGTCGGCACCGGGAATGCCCCGGGAATACCCCGGGAATGACCCCGGGGACAACACTCACCCGTTCCGGTCGTACTTCTTGAACACTGGGAAAGCTTCGAGGGGGTCTTGGAGCTGGAAGGAAACCAAAGAGCACCCCAAAGGGAACCCAAACGGGGCAGGGGGGACACAGACGTTGGGGTTTGCACCAATCCGGGGGGGTTTCACCCCATTTTCACCCCCGGGACACTCACTTTGTTGGCAGCTTCCACCTTGGCGCAGACAGCGGCCATGGCTGCTCGCTCCTCCAAGCGCTTCTGCTTCTTCTCCTTGGCTTTGCTGGATTTCCTCTGGCCAGAACCAGGGAATTGTCACTAAATTTGGGACTGTTCTAACTAAAACATCGCTTCGCCCCAAAAAATCCCTCTGGGAATTCATAATACTTAAAGCCCACAGGCAGAAAACCAAACAAGTTGTAGAGTTTGCCCTAAAATCCTTAGAATTAAAGCGATTTTGGGTTAAAACCCAGCGTTTTGATGAGTGCATCGTGGGGGAGGTAGTGCTGAACCATCCTTTTAGCACTGAGGTAACTCAATTAGCAGGGTTTTGCCCCAAAATCTTGAGTGGTTTAATGCTCCAGGAGGTGGCATCTGCGTAAAGTTCATGTTTTTAAGTATTTCTTCTCAATTTCACGAGTCTGCCCCCAGAAATGAGCCAAAGATGGGGGATTTCACCCCAAAATGAAGGAGAGGAAGCCCCTGATCCTGTGGGATCCCTCCCAGCTGGGTGAATCCCCAACATCTCTGGGGCCTTGCGGCAGGTTTGGGGATTCCTGAGCTTTGCCTCCGGCACAACTAAGTTGAACAGCCCCGAAAGTGAGGATTTTATAGGGAAAAG